TAGCAAACTTCGGATGCACGAATCGAATTTTCCCAAAAATGGCGGCGACATGTGTGGCGACAGGAGAAAATGGACAGAGAAGATGGGGCGGGGATCTCTGGGAAGGCGCGCAGACAAGGCGCGCTGACCCATAATGCATTCATGAGTCATGAATCATGACATGTGATCGCATTAGCCAATCAGCAGCCAGCCAGCCAGCACAGTGTAATGGTGGAGCTATAAATCGCGGCCATCTTCGAATTCTCCATTAGCCTCCGGTCATTCAAGAGAGACAGACCTCTGTGTATTGAGGGACAGAGTTAGGGCCACAGAGACTTTAGGGCAACAGAATCGTTACTCAGGGACACAGAATTGTTACTCAGGGACACAGAACTGTTACTCAGGGACACAGAACCGTTACTCAGGGACACAGAATCGTTACTCAGGGACACAGAATCGTTACTCAGGGACACAGAATCGTTACTCAGGGACACAGAATTGTTACTCAGGGACACAGAATCGTTACTCAGGGACACAGAATCGTTACTTATTGTACATTCAAAGAGTTAAATCCATTTACACGCCGGCTGGCGGTAATATTTTTTGGGTGATTAGTGCATTCCAGTGACACAAACGTACAGTTTCCAGCCAACGGCAAGCTGCAATTGACCGATTGTGTACAATAAACTGACTTTCTGCTTCACAACCACTATTGTACGTTCAAAGAGTTAGATCCATTTACACGCCGGGTGGCGGTAATATTTTTTGGGTGATTAGTGCATTCCAGTGACACAAACGTACAGTTTCCAGCCAACGGCAAGCTGCAATTGACCGATTGTGTACAATAAACTGACTTTCTGCTTCACAACCACTATTGTACGTTCAAAGAGTTAGATCCATTTACACGCCGGGTGGCGGTAATATTTTTTGGGTGATTAGTGCATTCCAGTGACATAAACGTACAGTTTACAGCCAACGGCAAGCTGCAATTGACCGATTGTGCTAAATAAACTGACTTTCTGCTTCACAACCACTATTGTACGTTCAAAGAGTTAAATCCATATACACGCCGGGTGGCGGTAATATTTTTTGGGTGATTAGTGCATTCCAGTGACATAAACGTTCAGTTTCCAGCCAACGGCAAGCTGCAATTGACCGATTGTGCTAAATAAACTGACTTTCTGATTCACAACCACTATTGTACGTTCAAAGAGTTAAATCCATATACACGCCGGGTGGCGGTAATATTTTTTGGGTGATTAGTGCATTCCAGTGACATAAACGTACAGTTTCCAGCCAACGGCAAGCTGCAATTGACCGATTGTGCTAAATAAACTGACTTTCTGCTTCACAACCACTATTGTACCGCCACCCTGCGCCATGTGCCTCTGTTGTCTGCTCACGCTGCTGACGGCTTCCGCTTTTTAACCGAGGCCTGTGTTTGGCTTCCGAATACTGCTGCCTCCACCGCCACCCTGCGCCATGTGCCACTTTCAGGTCTCCTTACACTGTTGGTGGGTTCCATTTTGTGATAAGGTGCTGTATGGCCTTCCATTGCTGCTGCCTCCACCGCCACCCTGCGCCATGTGCCACTTTTCAGGTCTCCTTACACTGTTGGTGGGTTCCATTTTGTGATAGGGTGCTGTATGGCCTTCCATTGCTGCTGCCTCCACCGCCACCCTGCGCCATGTGCCTCTGTCGTCTGCTCACGCTGCTGACGGCTTCCGCTTTTTAAACCGAGGCCTGTGTTTGGCTTCCGAATACTGCTGCCGCATCCACCGCCACCCTGCGCCATGTGTCTCTGTCGTCTGCTCACGCTGCTGACAGCTTCCGCTTTTTAACCGAGGCCTGTGTTTGGCTTCCGAATACTGCTGCATCCACCGCCATCCTGCGCCATGTGTCTCTGTCGTCTGCTCACGCTGCTGACGGCTTCCGCTTTTTAACCGAGTCCTGTGTTTGGCTTCCGAATACTGCTGCCTCCACCGCCACCCTACGCCATGTGCACTTTCAGGTCTCCTTACACTGTTGGTGGGTTCCATTTTGTGATAGGGTGCTGTATGGCCTTCCATGCTGCTGCCTCCACCGCCACCCTGCGCCATGTGCCTCTGTCGTCTGCTCACGCTGCTGACGGCTTCCGCTTTTTAACCGAGGCCTGTGTTTGGCTTCCGAATACTGCTGCATCCACCGCCACCCTGCGCCATGTGTCTCTGTCGTCTGCTCACGCTGCTGACGGCTTCCGCTTTTTAACCTAGGCCTGTGTATGGCTTCCGAATACTGCTGCCTCCACCGCCACCCTGCGCCATGTGCCTCTGTCGTCTGCTCACGCTGCTGACGGCTTCCGCTTTTTAAACTAGTCCTGTGTATGTCTTCCGAATACTGCTGCCTAAACCGCCACCATGCGCCATGTGCCACTTTCAGGTCTCCTTACACTGTTGGTGGGTTCCATTTTGTGATAGGGTGCTGTATGGCCTTCCATTGCTGCTGCATCCACCGCCACCCTGCGCCATGTGCCTCTGTCGTCTGCTCACGCTGCTGACGGCTTCCGCTTTTTAACCGAGGCCTGTGTTTGGCTTCCGAATACTGCTGCATCCACCGCCACCCTGCGCCATGTGTCTCTGTCGTCTGCTCACGCTGCTGACGCTTCCGCTTTTTAACCGAGGCCTGTGTTTGGCTTCCGAATACTGCTGCATCCACCGCCACCCTGCGCCATGTGTCTCTGTCGTCTGCTCACGCTGCTGATGGCTTCCGCTTTTTAACCTAGGCCTGTGTATGGCCTTCAATTGAAGCTGCTTCTGCTCCGCCACTCTGCCATTGGACTCTTGATAGTCGTCTCCCCACGCTGCTGCTGGGGGGACTTTTTAACATAGGCCTCTGTATGGCCTTCAATTTTAGCTGCTTACGCTCCGCCCACTCTGCCATGGGCCCCTGTACCGCCTCCTCATGCTGCTGCCAGGCCCGTAATCTGCCATGGGCCCCCGTACCGACTCCTCATGCTGCTGCCAGGCCCGTAATCTGTCATGGGCCCCTGTACCGCCTCCTCATGCTGCTGCCAGGTCCAGAGTGTGTCATGGGTCCCTGTACGGCCTCCCATTGCTGCTGTCTCCATCGCCACACTCTGCCATGTGTGCCACTTTCAGGTCTCCTCACACTGCTGGTGGGTTCCATTTTGTCATAGGGTGCTGTATGGCCTCCCATTGCTGCTGCCTCCACCGCCACACTGTGGCTCCACACTCTGGTTTTGGCCCCGTGACTGCCCAAATGAGTGAAGTGTGCGGTGATTCTAAGATCGACGGCACTCATCTGCATGTCATACTGACTGACAGTATTATTTCTCTTCCCCAGCAGACTCCAAGGGCATTTTAAATTAAAGGTACAGTGTTCTGCACTAATATAAAGGCTCTCTGAAGCCTAGAAACACCCTTTTTATAAGTTAAATTTGCAGCGAATATATTCGCCTCGAATCGAATTTATTCCGCGAATTTGGCGAATCAGCCGAATCGAATTTTTGAATAATTCGCTCATCTCTAATGAAAACCCATTGGGATTGAAAAACAGGTGTTCAAGAGGCAGCAGTATCTCCACCTGATTACTTGTATGCTGGCTTTAAACCACCAAATCTGTGGTGGATCTCTTTTCAGAACCTGCCTATTGAAAGAAGCCTATGAGTGGCTATATACTACATTTATCCAGGTCACGGAATAGTTAGTAGTAAGTCACATTCAATTTGACTTTTTCTATAATGTTGAAGATGTTTTTCGTAGCATCTCCAAGCCACCTCTAAAAAGCAACTTGGAGAAGCTATGAAACATCTTCTACATTAAAGAACAAGTCCAGTTGGATATGACTAACTTACTACTAGCTACATACCACATTCATACCCTGCCGCTGAAGATCTTTTTAAATGTTTTCGTAGGATCTCCAAGCCACCTCTAAAAAGCAACTTGGAGAAGCTACGAAACATCTACATTAAAGAACAAGTCCAGTTGGATATGACTAACTTACTAGTAGCTACATACCACATTCATACCCTGCCGCTGAAGATCTTTTTAAAAAAAATATAAATCTTTACAAAGCATTAGGAAAAATTTCAGGTTTCTGATTACAGAGGGGGGAGGGGAAATGCTGGAGGTGCCTGCTGTCCTAATAGCGATTGGCCAAGAAAATAAATCAACTTGTCCAGTGCTGTCAGCTTGTCCTCGGACAGAAGTAATGGGAATTCCAAAATTTTAGAGTGGTCTCAGAACAACAGGTAAGGAGAAGTCTTGTAATAGGAACATTTGTTAAGCTGAATACTGCCTAAAACAAGGATATTCTGTCAATCTGAAGAGATTTCTACCAATTCCTGTTTGTGTCTCTTGGACAGGATGTGAAGGAAACCTCCCCAGTAACACACACAGGCAGGAAAAAAAAAAACTTGATAGGTTTTAACTATTCCCTACTCAATCTAAAATAGATACAATTTAACACAGGAGTATGTGCTGAAGAAGGTAATCTTACAAGTTCTAATACTTTTAATGTTGTCTGTTTCCACATTGGAGAGATTTTGGTGAGCCCACAGAACATCGACCCAACAAATGCCCATACAATAAAACCTGACAAAATATCCTAAGCAGGCCATAGATTAGTCAGTAAGTTGAAGGAAAACAAAATGACTTGATTCCCCCATCAAAATACTTGATGTGGATGGGAGATCCTCCCGTTGAGCTATTGTATTCTGACTGCAATTAGACTGACCAGCGTTGCAGGCAATAGCCTGATTGAGCAGGGAAAATCCAACAGGTAGATCGACTTCTCTACAACCAGCCTGTCCATACAAGGATCGAACCAGTCTGGTCCCTGCAGAACCAGCTAAATTTCGATACATGTATGGCTTAACTCTCCCTTTAGTCTATGCAACACTAACAAAAAAAAAAAACTTTTTTGGCTGGGATTTCACTTTAAAAATTCTATATATTTTCAATAGATTGTATTCAACACACAAAGCAAAATTGCACAAATTCTAAATTATCTTCCTGTGAGATGTTCATAGATGTATTCAGGGGCGGACTGACCATTTGGAAACTCTGGCACTGTCCGAGGGCCCGGGGTCAGTAGAGGGCCCCATGAGATGCCCCTGGTACCTTTTTCATAGGCGTTTTTGAGTTTGGGCAAGGACACAGGGGCCCCATGAGCCCCTATTGCCCGGAGCCCCATGAGTTGTCAGTCCTCCCCTGGATGTATTTACATAATTTCCTTTGTTTCCAGACTGTCTTCCAGTTTCTTGCCAATACACAAAGCAATGCACAAAGCAATACTAAATCACACTTGTATTTTGCGTGTTAAAAAAGTGTTCATTTTTATTGAAATGTATATGTGTTACTTACATTTCACTTTATCCTCAATCCAAACTAATAAATAATTTGGATTAAATAACATTCTTTTGCATTTTATGATGCCTGAGTCAAGTTTGCTATATTTCTTAGACCCATGAGGACTCACAACCACAATTATTGTTGTATATGTAATACAATAATTTTTTTAGATATTTATCTCCATTGTGTGGCAGAGTGAGTCGGCAGTAGGAAGCATTTGAATTTATATTGAGCAATTTGGGTTTTTTTTAACTCAGTTCTGGAGATTTTAAGATGATTCTTCTGTATTTTTACATATATATACACTATATTGCCAAAAAAATTGGGACACCCCCCAAATCATTGGATTCAGGTGTTCCAATCACCTCCATGGTCACAGGTGTATAAAATCAAGCACCTAGGCATGCAGACTGCTTCTACAAACATTTGTGAAAGAATGGGTCGCTCTCAGTGAATTCATGCATGGTACCGTGGTAGGTTGCCACCGGTGCAATAAGTCCATAGCGGGCAGCACAGTGGCTAAATGGTTGGCACTTCCACCTGGCAGTACTAGGGTCATTGGTTCGAATCCCAGCTACGGCACCTCCTGCCTGGAGTTTGCATGTTCTCCCTGTGTCTGCGTGGGTTTCCTCTGGGTACTCTGGTTTCCTCCCACACTCCAAAGACATGCTGGTAGGTTAATTGGCTCCTGTCTAAATTGGCCCTAGTATGTGTATGTGTGAATGTGAGTTAGGGACCTTAGATTGTACACTCCCTGAGGGTTAGGGACTGATGTGAATGTACAATATATATGTAAAGCGCTGTGTAAATTGACAGCACTATATAAGTATCTGTAATAAATAAATACAATAATTAAATTTCCTTGTTACTAAATATTCCACGATCAACTGTTAGTGGTATTATAACAAAGTGGAAGAAACTGGGAACAACAGCAACTCAGCCACCAAGTGGTAGGCCACGTAAAATGACAGAGCGAGGTCAGCGCATGCTGAAGTGCACAGTGCGCAGAAGTCACTGTCTGCAGAGTCAATAGCTAAAGACCTCCAAACTTTGCGTGGCCTTCAGATTAGAACAACAACAACAGTGTGTAGAGAGCTTCATGGAATGGGCTTCCATGGCCAAGCAGCCTTACATCACCAAGTGCGATGCAAAACGTCAGATGCAGTGGTGTAAAGCACACCGCCACTGGACTCTAGAGCAGTGGAGACATGTTCTGTAAATCCGATGGACCTATCTGGCTTTGGCGGTTGCCAGGAGAACGGTACTTGCCTGACTGCATTGTGTCAAGTGTAAGGTTTGGTGCAGGGGGAATTATGGTGTGGGGTTGTTTTTTAGGGGTTGGGCTTGGCCCCCTAGTTCCAGTGAAGGGAACTCTTAAGGTGTCAGCATACCAGCATACCAGTATTTTTAGTAAGTTTTTTTTTTTGTTGGGGTAGGGGGGTTGCTGAAGAACCTCTGTATGGAAAAAAGCCTGAAAATGAATCATCCAATGATTGATGAGCTGCAATAAATTACATTTTTGTTTTTGGGTTCAGATGGGCTTTAATGCATGTTGCCAAATCTCCAAACGTTCTTTGAAATTTCAAGAAAATTAAAAATCTCAATTTTGCTTATCTCTAATGAACAGGGAGCAGTTTTTATTGCGCTTGCTTGGTTTTTGTTTTTTTTTTTAAATAAATAAAATTTTTGGTTCTCAGTTCAGATAGGATTCGATGCATTTTGGCAAGTCTCCAAATTTTAATTTCCAGGAGAGTTAAAAATCTGAATTTTGCTCATTTCTAATTTAGAGAAAGCAGCTTTATTGTTCTTGCTTACCTTTTTTTAACTAGCTGGAAAACTCATGAACAAAACAGGTCTAAAAAATACAGCTTTACAAGCAGAAATAGATTCTGCGAGGTTGATTTACTGATCACTGTCCTGTTATGCAGCAGTTTACTGGGAACTGTCCACAGAGTAATAGGTAAATGTATACTAAATTACATTACATTAGGGTGAACTCAGGTAAATGAAAGGGTCCACAGTGGGGCAAAATTGATAAATCTGCCCCTATATGTCAATTCATTGCTATCATTACTCTGCTGACACTTGTCACAGCAACAATTCACAGCAATTTTCTTTCAAATTATAAATAAAAAAAAATGAAGCCTACCGTACCGCTTTACTCCAGGTAGCCATTCCTTAAAGTGCTATTCCTGATTTTTCAGAGGGGAAGAGAGAGGAAAGGTCTTTTCGGAGAGATGGTGAACTCAGGACTAACTGATAATAGATTAGTGCTAATTGTTTGCCCCGGAGATCTATGCAATGCTGATGAAGTAAGGGTGTCAGCTGTTCTTGAAGACAATGGTCCTATTGGCAGATGCTCTACAATCAATGCTTGCTAACATTTACTTTCACATGTGGTTTTCAGGGAGCCAGTAGGTTTAGTGAGTTATATAACTGGTAATTGACAATAATATATTGTTTTAAGGTTTAGTTAATATTTATTAATAATAAAAATCTATAGCACTTGCTTAATTTACCATTCTCTTTTTGTAGTTAATAAGAATATAAAAATTATAAAGTCTAACTTCCTTGAGTAATGTATTTAAGGCTTACAACATTACATTGAATGATGAAGAATTCCTCCTGCGCTGTAATGGACCCCCAATCCCTACCTATCAGCTGCTAACACTCAAAGTGATACCCAACCAGTGCAAAATTAATAATAAACAATAGTGCAGCGCTAACAAACTAAATCACTAGAAATACTACTTCATGGGCTAAAAAAGCCAAAAGCACCTACATGTGAAATACTTAAATAAAAGTATAAACATGAAGATATATAAAATGTGAAAATTATAACACATCTTAAGGTGACCAAATTATCTTAGTGCCCCATTCCTGTGCCAACAATTAATAGTAAAATAAAAATCACAAGCATAAATAACGTGATAGTGCCACTTCAAATCTCATAAATGAACAAACACATAAATATATAAGTCCAATAAAATAATTCAGCGACGCAGCATACTTCATGCAATGTGCAATTAGTGCTCAATCGTGTAAGTGCCAACACACTTTTCCACTCCAGCTGCAGTGCCTCCTCACCTCCTTTCTATTGACCCCTAGGGGCCACAGAGCTTTCAGGATCACCCTGGATCCTCAACAATGCCTCATTCCAATCCCTTCTACTTTTGAAGGGACATGTAAGGAAGATCCTCTCATGAAAGGTCTAATCTCCGCATTTTGATTTCCTGTCACCCATTAACAAACATACCCCCCTTTATGAAATGGCCTGGGAGAGAGAACTGGAATCCTCTGGAATAGAGAGGCAGTGGGTGGAGGCTTGGACTGTTCTAGCCTGTAGCACCTTTAAGGCTGAATTCCAGGTATGGTTATTTTTGCATGGTTAAAATCAAGGCTTTTTTTTTATCTGGAACATGGGGGGAACACAGTTTTGGCACCTCCAGTACTTAATGTATGTAATGGCAAGGAGTGCTGGGGTGTGCTGGAGGGTCTATTGTTGCTGGCTGTTGGGGGACCTGTTGTCGCTGGAGGGGATCTATTTTTTCGTGGGGGTCTATTGCTGCTGGAGAGGTCTATTGTTGCTGATGGAGAATCTATCATTCCTGGGGGGGTTGTGTTATGTTGCTGAGGGGTCAATTGTTGCTGGGAGGGATCTAATATTGAGGGAGAGGTCTATTGATGATGGCTGCTGGGAGATATGTTGTTGCTGGGGTGCTATTTTTTGTTGTAGGGGGATCCATTGTTGATGAAGGGGGGATCTATTGTCACGTGGAGATTTATTGTTGCTGGGGGTCGATTGTTGTGTTGTTGTCGGTGGGTGGGGGGTGGCATATTTGGCTGATCTCTGTGGAAGCTAGAGACTACTGTATTAGGCAACACTATTCCAATGAATGATCTCCACTCTGCGTCCCGTGCCAAGTGGCTGGCTTTCTGCACAGCTGCTATTCAAGGAACACTTTGCATTTTTGCAATGAATGCAATGTGTTCTATGATTGGGCACATTAGAGATTGCAACATCACTTCTCTACCTTGTCCAACAGGAGAGTGCTTTGCATTCTTTGAGATGATGGAAAGTGTTTTATGAATGGTGCCCATACTGAACAAGTGGCCTTCTGTGTCACATTTGCAAATTTTACATTTGACCATTTTTTTTTTAGTTTATTAAAGAAGTAATAGTGGATCTGCTGATTTGAATTCATTTGCTTTATGTTAATGATTAATGCTGTATTTTTCGATGTAAAATTACATTTGCTGAAATTTACTGAAATGAAACTCATGGGCACACTTTCATTTAAAAAAATAATAAAGCTGCTAGCAGGTTAAAAAATGCATGCCAACAACAACATTATTGCTCCAATATGGTAAAATTCCAGTACATGTACAATTCCAGTTCCAGTACATTCCAGTAAACTGTCACTTTTTCAGGACAGCTTAGCCTGTTACAGGAAGTGGAAAATCAACAAGTCTACTGGCAGGATCGGCCGGTGATAAAAATGTTTAGGGGGCTCAGAAAAACAAAACTGCCCTGTTAAAGCTGCATACACTTTGCAGTATAATGTATATAACATTCTTGATTTTCCCCATAGTTTAAAGTAGATAACTGTCACTTAGGGTACATCGTTCACTACATACAGTTAGCTGTCGCTTGTTCTAGAGGCCAGAGCAGACCACTTGCATTTGACACTGACACTACCAGGCAAACTGTAAAAAGCCATTGTCAAGCAACACATGCCATTTGTTCTCCCTGAATAATGGCTATTTAAATAGTAATTATTGTCCCAGGAAGCCAGTTGTTGAAATGCAAATATCTCTAATGGCTTCAATAATGGAATCCATCTACTGGGAGGCATCCTCACAAAAAGCCAAAACAGTGCAACAAAAGCTGTGATTGGTAGCCAGGATTTTGACCACAAAATCCTTTTGAGCTGTGATGGTGTCCTGAGGTGCAAT